TCCATTTCTGTCATCCTAAGTAAATTTCAGATATACGTTATTCCAACAAAAATTTCGCTTGAAGATGGAACGGAGCCCTTTTTAATTTCAACTCAATTTAATTTAAAGGATTATATTGAAGTTTTCGGCTCTTGTTTTGAAACATGAGACCTCTTATGTAGCGATTTGGAATCATATTTTTTAAATAAATAATTATATATATATATATATATATATATATATATATATATATATATATATATATATATATGTGGTAGACTCTCCTGTCGTATTCGGCGTATAAGGTTCAGCAACTCAGGTCCTAGTAATCGACTGCCAGACACCAGCACATATGATTTGATTATAGTGGGGAAGGCTTTGTGCACAACCAACCATACTTTTTGAAGGGCCGAATACAGAGCCCTGGTGCACTACGTACTTTAATGTCACCCAAACGACCCTCCGCAGGTTTTGAATTCAGAGTTGTCCTTCTTCTAGACCAGTTGCCTGTCCTGCTATTTACCCATAGCTGGAGGGAGAAGAAGAGGATTCACACCTTTCCCACGTAAGTGAATGTAATGGATTTTCGAACTCGGCTCTGCGATTATATATATATATATATATATATATATATATATATATATATATATTTGAATAAAAACGGACCATTTTAGGTTCCATGTAAATAAGTTATTTCACCACAGCGCTTTTAAAGGGCTCTGGATCATCAGACTTTACTTCCAATTTACTGTGGTGAAATAACTTATTACATGGAACCTTAAAGTGGTCTGTTTTTATTCAAATTTATTTGCTCTGAATTTACATTGAGCTCTCTGGATATCATCCTTCTTGGGTCTACCCATACGGATTACTCAGTTTTGCATAAACTATATATATATTTTTTTATAAAATAATAAACGGTGACAGTCTGTTTTATGATTCCATACAATCTTTGGGCTATGTGTGCTGTGCTTTTACTCGACTATTTATATATGCTGGTCAGTGGTGCATTATGGGTAGTAATGTCTATTGTATCATCCTGGCGGTTATAGGATGAACGATAAAGGTTATGTTTAAAATTATTCTAGACATTATTGAGTAAAAAATAATTGTGGAGCCGAATGTAGTTTTTGTTTACTATTTATTTATTATTGATTATTTAATTATTTGTTGTTGATTATTATTATTATTACATTTACATGTGTTTATTTGTTCAATCGTGGTTTGTTATTTTATTCATTATTTACTTACATATGTTCATTTATTTACATTTTTTGTTCATTTTATTTATTTATATTCTTTCGTGGTTAGTTATGTTATTTGTTTAATTTAAAGTATTGATCATACTACTACATGCTTATCTGGTCGTCTCACGTTACATCTACCCGACCATAACTTAATTAGGACTCATTTAAACACGCACGGAAACCTACCAAACTACATCCGCAACTTGTTAGAAGAAAATACAAGTATAATAGCCTAATCCACATTTAAAAAAAGATTAAATATAATGGAAGCACTAATAATAAGAAACGCCAATAGTCAATAACATTAACTATGAACACGGTCAAATGTGCTGACCGTGTTTGGTAAATAAAACACTCCTATAACTTTAGACACCTCCAATAGAACCTCCACACATTCAGTTGAAAATAAAAATCGTCCTTGATAAGGGCTAAAAGTATAACCGAAATCACTCGGATATGCAGAACTTTTGGGCACTTTTACACACTGAAAAATTGTGCTTGGGGATAGTAGCCGTGGCACGTGGGGGGGCGCAGTCTTATGAATAAAAGAGAAATTGGAATGAGTTTCCCCATGGAATATGTGATCGAGCGGCGTTATATCAAGTTTGATTCGCTACCTATTTGTCACCGAGGCCTATTGGAACAGTTGGTATGACGTTTGTTTGATAACGTATCTGTCCGGGTTTCAGTTCTCGGTAGTGGATACGCACTGCTGATGAGTCCCAAATATACGACCAAACGGCCGTCCAGAAATATGTTGTAGTGGTTCCAACGAGAGAAAAGTATGTATATTGAAGAGAGGGACCGCAAACGTTTTTGGTTGTAATGTGGATTTATTTAGAAAAAATATTATGGATTGTTTTACATAATTTTACGACACGTGTTTCTGGTCTCGCGACCGTCTTCAGGTAAAAGCGGAGATTTCCGCATATTATTAAAAATAATTAATTTTTCCTTATGTTCAATGTTAAATATTCTCGATATGAAACATTCTCTGTTTGTGTGTTGGTAATCCGAATTTCTTTCTTGAATTCATATATTCTTGAATATATATATATATATATATATATATATATATATATATATACACTCTATCTCTGATATTGAGCACTTTATCCCTAGCACACCTTAAAACTATATTTCTTCTTTTATATATATATATATATATATATATAATAGCTGGCCACTCATATTCGAGGATACTCGTCTACTATCGCGTGAAGCCAATCCTTATTGCAGACACTTGCTCAGGCACATTTGTGTTTGCCCAACACCCATAGAGCCCACCTGTAGTTTATACTGCAACTATGCTGAGCAGACATTATTTACAGTTTCTGGGAAAGACCGTGTTATCTAGCGTGGTAAACAATTTGAACAAGGCCAGCATGCTCAAGACCTCGGCCACGATGACTTGTGGCTTCATGCTAGCACAGCTCTCGACGGACTCCAAGAGTTCCGTCTATCCAATTTTACTCACAAGGCTTGGGATCAACCCGTGTTTTGGTTTTCAGGCACTTTCCAAAGGTGACGCACGCTGGGATTGTCCCCCTTAAGACCGATAACATCAGGAAGTCTTCTACCATCACAAATCAACTATGGTGAGATTCGAACCCGGGTCTCATGGTCAGAAAGCGAACGTTCTACAGTACTAGGCAGAAAATGGACGCACTGTCGATTTTTGTATTTTTACCAAAACAAGTGTGGAATAGAATTCGTTTGTTAATACAGGGTATTCATACGGGGGTACATATGTACATTATACAAGTCAAAAAATGATCTTTTTCAGTCAGACGCAGGCTTAAAGCAAAAGGCATTATTTCTAAATACGTAAAAAGAAACCTTTCGTATTTGAAAAAATATCGACGGGCCCAGTTGGCTTGGTACAAAGCTCACTTACACTGAGCTAAGTCTGATTTGGAAGATGTTATGTAGAGTGACGAGAGCCCCTTTAGTCTTAGATATGAAGGAATACGTGTTTCTTGTACGCCCAGTGAAACGAATACTCCAGTGACTACCAAGGGCAATGTTAAACACGATAAAAACATTAACGTTTGGGGTGCATTCTCAGCAGAAGGATTTGGTAATTTGTACAAAATCAATGGAATCATGGACCAGCATCAATACCACATTCTTGTTAATCAAATGTCGCTTACTGCTAAAAAATGTTTGCCCAAGGTCAAGGCTTCACGTTTCAACACGATAACGATCCTAAGTATACCGTCTTAAAAAAATAAACGTGTAGAAGAAGGAGCGTGACGAGGGCAAATTGCAACTCTTCCTGTGGCCTAGTCAGAGTCCTAACCTAATTGAAAAACTTTAGGCGATAATGGACAAGCGTGCCTGTAATAGGAAAGTTAATTAAGAAAATGAGCTTTTTCGCGAATAAATCCTGGAAAAATCTGGCGAAGGACGTTGACTTACTAAAGAATTTAGTCTCTAGCATGTCACGAAGAATTAAGGCCGTTATTAAAGCAAAAGCTTACCCAACAAAATACTAAATCATTTTTTGACTTGTATAATGTATTAATACACCTATATTAATATCCTGTATTGATAAACTAATTCTATTACTTACTTGTCCTGGTAAAAATACAAAAATCGACTTTTTATAAGTGCGACCATCTTTTTTTACCTCTTACTATATATATATATATATATATAATTGTTTATTTAAAAATATGATTCCATCGCTACATAAGAGTTCTCATGTTTCAAAACAAGAGCCGAAAACTTCAATATAATTATTTGAATTAAATTGAATTAAAGTACCAAGCTCTGTTCCATCTTCAAGCGAAATTTTTTTTTGGAATAACTGATTCCTGAAATTTACGCGTTTTATAAGCATATTCATTATTAAAATTAAAATTACTATGGTAACGGCTAGAGCAATTATTTAAAGAAAAGGGGCGTAAGGGTTAATAATTTGTATCTGAGTTACATTCAAAGACGTCAAGTCAGGGTAAGGTTGGGGTGTCTAAATTTAAAGCGGAAGTTCAAATAGTGTGGTTGCAAAAAAAGGTATAGTTGAATTTTTTTGAATACTTTTCTTTTCAGTAATGAAACGTACTGCCTTGGGATGCACGCGGCATAAAATAAAGTGTGAGGGAAAATATCCTGGAAATTAATTAAATGTTGTGGTTGGAATAACAATGTCCCGAGTGAATTTTTCTCCTTAAAAGAATAAATCCTACGGGCCGTTTATTTGAAACTGCAAAGTCTGTGAATATCTCTAAGGTATTTCTTAAAGCTCTCATCGCTTACAGCCGCATCCCAGGTCAATACCTAGATGGGTGACCACTTAGGAATACGAGGTGCTGTAAACTTGGATGTGCGGGTGGTGTATTAGATAATCACTCGGAATTGTTAATTGGAAAGCCGAGTTCTAATTCCAGTTGGGTTCGTTATATTGACTTAACGCGCAAATACCCATAGGAAAAGTAGGAATCCACCTTTTGTCCTCCCAGATATGGGCTAATTAGTAAGAATTGTCTCTCTGAAACCATTATTATATAAAAATAAATATATGCTTAAAATCTAAAAATATTTTCTAGCAGTAAATAATCTGAAAAGGGTTGATAAGTCCGTAAAAACGAATCGATTAATCTTAAAAATAACACCCTGAATACAAATCTAAAATGCGGTTTGTCTTTAATTAAAAAGCCTGTAAACTATTGGACACGCTTTTATTTATTTATTTATCTATCTATTTATTTATCTATCTTACTGTTCGCATCTATCTATCTATCTATCTATCTATCTATTAAATATATTTAGTCACTGTTCGCATCTATCTATCTATCTATCTATCTATCTATCTATCTATCTATTAGATTTATTTATTAAGCAGTGTATGTAACGTTTTTCTTTAATAAGATTTCTCGAATATTCAGGCTGGTAGACAAAAATAAATAATTACACTGTTTAATAAATAAATGGGGGCGTCTACTCAAATAAGAGTATCCACTAAAAAATAACATTTAAATTGAAAAAATCTATCGGACTGATAAAATAAAAAACATTACTTTAGAAAATTACTATATATATATATATATATATATATATATATATATATATATATATATATATATATATATATATCTTCATTGGGTACCATTCTGGTTCCTTCATGACACTTCTATGAGTAATGATGGGTAATTGGCGCTAGCGATTACATCGTTAAAGCAGCTTGAGTAATTCCTAACCTGATCTACAGGGAGAAGTGGATTCAGGCCTTGTGCAAATTCCGTCAGAGGAAATTTATATTGAGATATGAATTACCTCTAACGGAATTTGCACTCGGTTTAAACGATATTTTCACATTGTCAAGGGTTGGATACAACCGTGTATGTGTGTGTGTGTGTGGTGGAGGTGCGTGTGAGTGCTTATGTGTACACGGGAACACATGCAGACAAACATACAAAAACAAACACACACACACACAAGAACGTACATACACACACATTTATTTTAATGAAAATGTTCATATCAGATATCCGCATCTCTTTTTCTTAATGTTTTCTTTTATGTAAATTTGTGTGTTGTTCTTCCATTGTAATATCTATCTATCTATCTATCTATCTATCTATCTATCTATCTATCTCAGTCGGTTCATATCTATCTTCTATCTATCTATGTTCTAATCCGTGTTTATTCATATCAGTCTTTGTTAATCTCAATCTCTCTGTCTACCTCTCTCTCACTCTCCTCCTCCCCTCTCTCTCCACCTGCCTCTCCCTCTCACTATCTGTTTAAGTCTGTTCATATCTATCTATCTATCTATCTATCTATCTATCTATCTATCTATGTTCATATCTGTCTGTTTTCTCATATCTATCTTGAACTGTTAACCTCTGACTATCTCTCTCCATCTATCTATGAGGTTTCGCCAAAAGTAATACTTCCTACTTATTGTCCCGGAAACTAAATCACTGTCAGATAGAGCAGGTTTTCTTGCAATAAAACTGTATTTTTCACACAATTAATTCGACGGGATTATCCTTTTTCAGCAGCCATAAACAAGAGCCTATATTTTATGCGTTGATTGTATACACTGTGGAAACGCATTCCAGCACCAACCGTGCTCATATCCACTCTTTGGTCTCCATAGAGGTTTCACATTTTATTTCATCCCGATGAAGTAATTCACTAATACACCTATTTTTCCTACGTACTTTTACCAGGTTATTGCTAAGATGGCATCTGTAAAAAAAAATGAGTTCTTCACGGCAATGTTCAAATCCTTATTGCTATAGATCAATCAATATGGCAACAGAAATATCGTGGGTCAACAGGATAAAAGAGGAAGCATTACTTTTGGAGCACTTCTATTTTTTTCTATCTATCTATCTATCTATCTATCTATCTATTACTTCGACGGGCTATCCCTTTTCGCCAGCCATAAACAAGAGCTTACATCTCATGGACTGATTGTGCCCACTGTTGAAACGCATTACAACAACCGTGTTCATATCCACTCTTTGGTCTCCATAGAGGTTTTACAAGTATATTTTCTCCCGATGGAGCAATTCAATAATATACCTATTTTTCCTATGTACTTTTACCAGGTTATTGCTAAGATGGCATCTGTCAGAAAAAAAATGAGCTCTTCACGGTAATGTTCAAATCCTTATTGCTATAGATCAATCAATATGGCAACAGAAATATCGTGGGTCAACAGGATAAAAGAGGAAGCATTACTTTTGGAGCACTTCTATTTTTTTTCTATCTATCTATCTATCTATCTATCTATCTATCTATACACAAAACGTTGAGCGTGAAGATGAAGTAGTGAGTGGAGAAATATAAGTAACAAAGAGAAATGGAGTTAAAAAAATATATATATAGGTCTGGCGTTCTTACACGATCAAACGGTGGCGCGTGTACAAGCGAAAGTTGCACGTGGCGCTAGTGAACGGTATGCTAATATCTACGTGACGAAACCTGTTTGTATGTTCTCTTTAGCCCGACATAGGGGGTACGGATGCTCAAATCGTTAATAGCCGTAGAAGAAGAAGAAGAAGAAGAAGAAGAAGAAGAAGAAGAAGAAGAATCTGGTGGTGGTGGTGGTGGAGGATGATGAGCGAGAATGTGTAAAACTGGAGGCGGAGGAGGAGAGAATAGAGGAAGAAGAAACAAAACAGAATATAAGAGAAAGCAAAGAAAAATGAAAAAGGCCGCTGAATATGGAGAAGAAGACAAGAAAGAAAAAATGGTAGAAAAAGAAGAACGAAAGGATGAAATAAAGAATTAGAATAAAAAAAAAAGATGTTAGCGTGAGAAAATAGAAGGAACCGACTTGAGAGGAAAATTAGAGAAAGAGAAGAAGAGAAAGAAAGAAAGAAAGAAAGAAAGAAAGAAAGAAAGAAAGAAAGAAAAGAAGTGAATAGAGAGGAAAAGAAAGACGTGAGACGAGAACGAGAAAATACGAGAATTGGGAGGAAAAGAAATAGGCGAGAATGGACGAGAGAAAACGAGAATAGAGGGGAAAAGAAAGAGGTGAGAGGGAACGAGAGAAGACGAGAATAGAGAGGAAAAGAAAGAGGCGAACGAGAAAAGAAAGAGGCGAGACGAGACGACAGAAAAATAGAATAGTGGAGAAAAGTAAGAGGCGAGACGAGACGACAGAAAAATAGAATAGTGGAGAAAAGTAAGAGGCGAGACATGACGAGAGAAGAGAATAGAGTGGAAGCGAAAGAGGCGAGAGGGAAGGAGAGAAGACGAAAATAGAGGGGAAAGAAACAAGTGAGGCTAGACGAGGAAAGGCGAGAATAGAGAGGAAAAGAAAGAGACGAGACGAGAGAAGAATAGAATACTGAGGAAAAGAGGAGAAACACGATGAGAGAAGAGAATATAGTGGAAGAGAAAGAGGCGAGAGGAGAGGAGAGAAGACGAAAATAGAGGGGGAAGGAAAGCGGTGAGGCTAGACGAGGAAAGACGAGAATAGAGAGGAAAAGAAAGAGGCGAGTCATGAAAAGAAAAGAATAGAAAGGAAAAGAAAGAGGTGAGACGAAACGAGAGGAGATAATACGGAGAATAGGGAGGAAAAGAAAGAGGCGAGAGGGGACGAGAGAAGACGAGAATAGAGAGGAAAAATGAGGTGAGACTAGAAAAGACGAGAATAGGGAGGAAAAGAAACAGGCGAGATGAGAAAGAAACGGGCGAGACGAGACGAGAGAAGAATAGTGAGGAAAAGTAAGAGGCGAGAGGGGAAGAGAGAAGACGAGAATAGAGAGGAAAAATGAGGTGAGACGAGAAAAGACGAGAATAGGGTGGAAAAGAAACAGGCGAGATGAGAAAGAAACGGGCGAGACGAGCCGAGAGAAGAATAGTGAGGAAAGGTAAGAGGCGAGGGGGGACGAGAGAAGACGAGAATAAGGAGGAAAAGTAAGAGGCGAGACATGACTAAAAAAGAATAGAGAGGAAAAAAAGATGAGAGACCTGAAAAGAAAAGAATAGTGTGGAAAAGGAAGAGGTGTGACGAGACGGGAGAAGATAATACGGAGAATAGGGAGGAAAAGAAAAATGCGAGAGGGGACGAGAAAGGACGAGAATAGAGAGGAAAAGAAAGAGACGAGACGAAAGAAGAGAATACGGAGGAAATGAAAGAAAATAAACGAGAGAAGAAGAGAGGAAAAGAAAGAGTTGAGTCGAGACGAGAGGTGAGTAGAATAGGGAGGAATAGGAAGAGGCGAGACGAGCCGAGAGAAGAAGAGAATATATAGGAATAAAAATAGGGGAGACGAGACAAGTTAAGAGAATAGAGAGAAAAATAAAGAGAAACTGGAGAAAGGGGGGCAAGATTTTACAGATATTACGGAAAGGAGAAGAGAATAAAGAATAAATAATCATTTATAACGAGAAAAAGTGGAAAGATTAGATCGGATTAACTGCTAATCTGGTGCAAGCAAAGTTGGTTCACGATGTCGTGCTAGACAATTTTTATCACCGGAATCCATCTCATACATTTATAAGTCTGCCATTCGTCCAGGCATTAAATATTGCTGTCACATCTGGTCTGCTGCTTCTTCTATGTACTTAGCGATTCTTGATAAAATCCAAAGAAGAATCTGCAATGTTATCGGTCCTCATCTAGCAACTCGATTTTAGTCATTTTCCAAACGCCATAATGTAGCTTTCCTGTAGATTTTCTAAAAGTATTTCCATGGTAACTGTTCTGATGAGCTTTCCTCTTTGTTATTTTTATCCCTATTCCTCAACAGACAAATTTTAAATATGGAAACTTGTTAGGACTTCATAGAGACTTTGAAGTATTATGGCGGGTCTTATAAAAATAGTAAGGAAGAATGTGCTGTTTTGGTGTAAGGAATACTGTGGTATGTTTGAGTCAGTAATTGTGGTGAGAAGATGAGACGGATTGAAGACCAGCTTTCCCATATCCCTCCTTTTGGCCTTGTGCCATACTTTTGTATCATCAAAATATAATATTGCTTTCCTTTTTAGTACCTCGACTTTATGAATTTAAGCGCAATACTCGTCTTGGTTAATGAATATTGGCTCGGAATGAAAAATCAGAGAGTCGAGTTTGATTTCTGGCTGGTTTGGTTGCATTCACTTACGCACCAATATCCTTGGGGAAAGATATGAATCAATCGCTTCTCCCAAAGTTGAATAGCAGGGCAGATTGAGCCTTATTAGCAAATAAGATCAATTGTTTTAATCATTTCACCCCAATCAAGGCAACAGTGCCACTAAAACACAGGAGGTTACAGGGTGCGAAAGTGAATGAGAAGATTGAAAATGGGAAGGATTGAGGGAAGGGCCAAAAAAGGAACAGCCTTCAAGAAGACAGAAGATGGTGATTAACGTTCCATTTATTTTTTGAAGATTGTAGTTATCAGGGAAGCAAGAAATCGGAAGGGAGTTCCACAGGTGGGAAGTGCGAGAAAAAAACTGTTCGAGTAGAAATGACGGTTACATCTAGCTAGTTCAACAGTAAAGCGGTGAAACCTAGTTGATATTCGAGTAGCACGCTTAAATCTCCTCCGCTCACCAGCTATGAGTCGAATAGAAGGACATATTGAGTTTTAAAGCCTTGGTTGGCAACCAGTCTACCACAAAAAGAAACGGCAACCTACTGCGGGAATAAATCGAAAGAGACATGATCGCCCAAGCGTATATCGCGTATGGCACTTAACTGATTGATTTGTGTATGCATAAAAATGAGTGTTCCAATATGGCTCCCCGTTTGCTTATAATGCACAGAAGTTAGCGTAAATTGCGAGGGAAAGAATTCAGAGGAAATCTTTTTTCCATAATAATTTTCTGTCGAATAGTGACCCAACGAGTAATAAGCTTGCTCGTCATCTATAAAAATATTAACAAATTTTACACTAATTAAACATTTTTCATCGTTTTTTAAAAAACACGTTCACGGAAAAATAAAAAAAATAAATTTCTATATATATTTATATGAACTAAATTTTATCATTTACTAATCTTACTTAACTAAGGTACAGGACTACAAGAATGGATCACCCAGTTAGGATCGAAATCGCTACACGATAGCCTCATGCGATCAAAACGGAATCGTCCATTATTTATGAGACGTTAAACATTTCTTTCTTTCTTTCTTTCTTTCTTTCTTTCTTTCTTTCTTTCTTTCTTTCTTTCTTTTCCTCAAAGAAACCAAGTAGTGTCTTTTCTCCTCTTTCCATGCGATCAAAACGGAATAGTCCATTATTTATGAGGTATTGGCAGGAGACGTTAAACAGCCTTATCTTCCCTTATTTCTTTATTTCTAGCAAAATTCCCGTCTTACGAACATTTCTCTTCGTAATAATTCAAAAATAATTCAGCAGATGGTTTTATTTTATTTTACTTATGGCAACTGGCTTTTGGGCGATTGCCATATTCGTTTTTTGTCGTTCGATACTGTGCGTCTGAAAAATAAAACATTTATCGCGGTCGCCACTTGACCTTTTGGCTGGGATCAAAATGTAGTATCTGTTCTTATCAGCTTAATCTGATTTTTTCTCTCCACTTCTATCTCCCCATCTTTCTTTCATTTTCTCACTGCAATCTAGTAATGCCATTTCGCTTCTTACCATGTGATGAAAACGCAGAATAGTCCATTATTTATGAAGTATTGGCAGTGCGTAACGGTCGTGCAAACTAACGAAGGGGGTGGTGTGGGGGAAAGCAGAATTATAATAGTGTAAATAGCTCCCTATGGGTTTCATATACCTCACCAACCGCAGTTGAAACCGTTGTGAAGTTACTGTGAGTTTCCTGTCTTTTATATCTTTGTATAGTATGTTTTCCCAGAGATAAATACAGTTTTGAATTCAGGATTGTATTTCTCAGAAACTGATTGACCAGTTATTTAACCCATAGCTGGAAGTACAAGAGATGGATTCATAACTTTTCCAACGGGATTTGTATGAAAGTAAATGTAATGATCTTGACCGGGCTTCGAACGCGGATACATGTCACTAAACTAATATTAATAGTTATTAGCAAATCAATGATATGTTTACTAAGCTTAGCTGTGTTTAACACGTGGCTTCAACTGTGAGGCACATGACATTCCCCATGTCTTACCTCCTTTGATTAGTATCTGCTAGTTTGGTACGAGGGTGTGACAGTACTGAAAATCAATAAAGAGTGAGGAGATATACGTACGAAGTGAAAACCTTGTTTCTCTCTTTAAGGAAACAGTCTTAAGAAATCATAGATTAAGAGCAAACTTGACCATCGCCAGTAGATCTGCCTAATTCTTCTCCAGCTGTAGATGGAACCAATTGAATATTTCGTCTAACTGAAGAAGTCGTGGATAGGACAAGCTCCTGTCAGGGTCAACTGCAAACCAAAGAATTTATCGTGAATAGTTTTAGACCCTTTTACATTCTGATCTTTTTTTATTATATATTTCCTCAATGACGGCTCTGCTCATTAAAAACATGCAGAAATTATCGTCTTAGTTGGAGTACATAGAAATTCTGCGCAGCACTGTGCTCATTTTGCAGGTATTAATTAAAGAGCAAATAGCATAAACAATGGATGTCGATAAGACGATAAAATACGTCCGATAGCAAGGCAGGTTTTGAGGAGCGTGGAACCACCTCTTAATTGCTGGTGTTCCCAGGTCCAACATGAGTTAGGGTCCCAGCTATGGGTAAAGAATTAACCTCCCCAAACTTGTGTCAAAGTACTATGAAAGTGTAAAAATAGGTTTTAATACCAGAAATTCATGGTAGTCTGTTGAGAAGAAGGCAAAACATGTCTTTCCACGGATAGGTAATATTTAAGTATACATACACACCTTAAGCTATGACATTATGTTGTAGAGTTAAACTTCTTGACAAGGATAGGACTGTTCGTAGACTTAGTGTATGCACCACTTTTCTGTTAAAGGAACCGACATGGTAGTCGTTTAACACCGAAATGGTTTGATAATTCTAACACCTCTAAACTACTCTCTATTAATCATCTTAACCTTCATTTTGCGTTCCATCAGCATGGCTGATGCTAACCGCCAAGAGTGACACTAGCTGGGAACTGTTCCAGCTGTGCTCCGGGCAGAGAGAATCCCCAGACGAGGTTATGTCGAAGGGCAGAGTCTCGTCTCGGGAAACAGCTACCCGACCTCGTTTTCTACGGGACCTACGGGGAATTTTTGGCTGAGCCTACGGGCTCGGATTACTCCACATTAAACTTGGCCTTGTGCCACATCCTACCTCGTGGGGAGGGGTCTGGTAAATATCCACTAGCTGGGTTCTGTTACTCAGCTATAAGATGTTGCCGAAGTCTTTGCCCGAAGGGAAGAGAGGAACCCGGACGAGGCTATTAATCATCTTAACCTTCATTTTGCGTTCCATCAGCATGGCTGATGCTAACCGCCAAGAGTGAAGCTCACTGAACCTCCTTGGTCTCACGTTTTCCACTGAATGAATCTATTGCTAAGTTTCGTGCTCGATATATCGGTTCACTATTCTAGACTTTTTTTGGGGGGGGGGCGTGCAGAATCGATTTTACACATTTATAAATCTACCATTCATCCTTACATCGTATATAGTTGCCATATCTGGACTGATGCTTCTATTCGATACCTAGAGATACTTGATAAAATCCAAAGAAGAATCTGCAATATTATCGTCGCTGACCTGCTATCTCGGTTTTAGTCATTTTCCACTACAGTAATGTAGTTCCCCTTCGACTTTCTATGAATATTTCCATGGTAATTACTCTGATGAGCTTTCCTTGTTGGTACCCCGGCTTCGCTAATTTAAGCACAGTGCTAGATTAGCAGATAGGTCTCAGTATTACACAGTTGAAGTTATGATGTAATAGAATAACCTGTCACACTACACTATAGGTAGTAACTACCTATAAGTATCTGTAAGTCAACGGACTACAGACCCTAGCTGGAAACTGTTCCATCTGTGCTCCGGGCAGAGAGGATCCCCAGACGAGGTTATGTCGAAGGGCAGAGTCTCGTCTCGGGAAACAGCTACCCGACCTCGTTTTCTACGGGACCTACGGGGAATTTTTGGCTGAGCCTACGGGCTCGGATTACCCCACATTAAACTTGGCCTTGTGCCACATCCTACCTCGTGGGGAGGGGTCTGGTAAATATCCACTAGCTGGGTTCTGTTACTCAGCTCTTAGATGTTGCCGAATTCTCTGCCCGAATGGAAGAGAGGAACCCGGACGAGGCTATGCCGAAGGGAGAGTCTCGTTCGGGGAGGTAGACAGTCATGAACACGTTTATGTGGGGTCTACGGGGAATTTTCGGCCACGCCTACGGGCTCAGATTGCCCCACATTAAATTCAGCCTCGTGGGGAGGTTGGTAAATATTACTAGCTGGAATCTGTTGAGTACGATTCGG